TCATTCCAACCACGAAGGAGAAAAACTTTCTGCTTTATTTAACTTTTATTTCATATGTACTCTCGGTGTGTGTTTGTATGTAAGCATGTGGCGGCTATATCGTCCCAAGCGCCATTACGACTACCTGCTAGAGTGGACAGTACACTTTTCGATTGTTGACATTTTAATAAGGTTCATAAAAAGAAAAGTTTTTCTTATTCGACAAAAGTAAATTGTTTGGCGAATTTACTCAGGTGAATTGTGCAGGAGAGATAGAGAGGGAGAAATGCGGTAGCGGTAGAGCGTTGCGAAGCGCGATATTTATGTCGCTCCTTAAACATATTTTCTGTATTTTTAAACCGAAACTATGAAATGAGTTGAAATTTTTGTAGCATACTTTTGGGCGCTTCATACTATTTTATTTATTTTCATTCAACGTTTCTGTACTTCTCAAATGATTCATAAAACCTTCAAAATACGAATTAACGTTAAAAGATATTTTTACACTTATTGGAATTTCGTCACAGTTCCCAGAGGATCTTTAAAATTCTAAGGATCTTTAGAATAAGTATAAATTTACCATGTTCAAATTCGATGCAAAGAGAGATGAACGGGGAAAACGACGCAATTTGGTAAGGAGAAATATATAGGGTATATTAGTTATTGCGTTAGAGAGAGAGAGAGAGAGAGAGAGAGAGATAGAGAGAGAGAGAGAGAGAGAGAGAGAGAGAGAGAGAGGGATAGAAAGAGTTATTTAAGTCTTCCTTTTTTCCTTTTTGTATAATCTTAGGTGCTTAATTATTAATTATTTCACTTAATCGGACGTATGCATAAGTCTCAAATGTTTTAAAAAAATTTCGAATTATTACTTTTCATTCATTCTTGAGGAAATTAGAAAATAAATACTACTTGAACGACTAGTTGAAGTGATCTAGAAGAACCGTAGGTCAATCTTAGGCAAACAATAATATGAGTAAAAAATAACTTTAGATCATTTGAATTCAAACTTCTATTATAATTTATTTATTTAAGAAAAATATCTGATTTTCAATTAAATTAAGAATGTAGAAGAATCACAAAATATTTTTCTTTACGCTTTTTCGCACGAATAATGTCAAAATTATCGAATGACTCCGACACAACTTTTTTCGTAGCAAAATTCAAATAAGTTGCGCTTAACTTTCACACTTCAACTTTTTTCAACACTTTGATTTTCACACAAGGCAGGAAAACTTTGTTGATTGTCACTTGTTTGCTGTGGCTCGAAAAGCTCGAAAGACTATTCATGAGATAGTGTACGTTGCATGTGACGCGAAAAAATGATTTTTATTGCAAAAAATCACAAGTAGACAGAGAAAGTGCTAATATCAACAAAAAATTATTACTTTTGGTAATGAAATTCATAAAATATTAATTAAACTAGGCAAAGGAAGAATAAAAGATAAAATAAATATTTCAAAAAAATTTCGATGACAGTATTAATTTTCAAAAGCAAAGCATTTCGAACTACATGAGAGGTAACATAAAATATGCTGGTCGACCAATTATATAGGCGCTTTGTAACCGCTGAATCAATTTTTTTCGGACGAGCTCCTCCTCCAATTTTTGGTTTTGCCTCTTGATGTTTTTCCAAGAAATGGAGGGACCTACAGTTTATACGAAGACACCTCCAAACGGCTGATGGTTTTTTATGAGGAGCTTTATTTCATGACAGAAATACACTCGGGGGAGTTGACATTACCCAGCGAGGGGCGACCGCAATTAGAAAATTTAACTTAATTTTTATTTAAATAAATTTTGAATAATTTTCAGAACTTGGTGGCAACGGGATTTGAGTCCGAGCCTTCCGAATGTCAGTATGCAATGCTAATCACTTAGCTACTGCGGCCGCCTGGTCGACATAAAAAATTATATTAATAAAAAATTTCACTCGCTATGCTGCAAACAGTTAAGTCTCTACTATATTGACCAAAAGCTTTGTTTTAAAGCTTATTTTATGTTTATTAATACAGTCATAACCCATGCCATTAGCAATTACTTAAGCGACATATGTGAACAAACGGAATTTCTATTAAAAAAAAAAATAAAAATAAAACACAAAATATCATTTAGCCATTAAAATGAATGTACAAAGAGAAAAGATGGAAAAATGTTAACACGGAGGTATCCAAAAATAGCACCTACATTTACTTAGCGCTATAAAAATACATACATTTCCAAGTATATTGCCCACCTGTTGCCTAAATAATACATTTAAATCGAGTGGCGGCAATTTCCACGAGTCGTTAGCCTGCTTTTAGGCGCCTTTTCAGAGAACTGACTCACACTTACACCCATACAACCAACCGTACAGATTAACCTGTTAATGAACAAACATGCTTTACATGGTTTTAATATTATTTTGAATATACCGTTAGTGATGCGGCATGACATAGCTCATTTTATGGTCGCCTGCAGCTTTTTCTCTTCATTTTAGTATTTAATTTTAGCTCGGTTGTTGACTTTTTCGCTTTGCCACAAAGTTGCTTGTGCGGAGAGGCCGGAAGGCGTGCTAAATATTTATGCAGTCACGGGTAATAAGCGCGAGTTTTACGACTACGCTCGCTGTATTATATTTTTTTTTTTTTTACATAGAATATTTTCATAATAAAAAAAGTTGTATGAATGTAAATGTGCTAGTGCGCTCTTTAATATGCATAAGCGTGGTTTTGGTGGCACTCTACATGCAGGTACACACATGCATACATATGCACATATGAATGAATTCAGCTGAGCACACATGCGTTAGCTCGTAAAAATGTCTGTATGTTATGCGCCTGCTGTTATGCTATGTATTTAAATTACATTTATGTCAAGGAGTATGTTATGACTTCACTGGCGGTGTCTTTTTTTTTTGGTGAAGTGCCTAGCTCTTACTGCGAATATTACCTTCAACATACACTCTCATACTCAAAAGTAGTAGCGAGTTTTCACTAGCAAGCTGTTGAGTGGAGTTGACAAAATGCAAAAAATAACAACAAATTACAAAAAAGTAAAAATAAAATAAATTAAAAAACGTTACAAAAAATATATCAAATAAATAAAAACAAAAATTAAAATATACGGACGTTGGAAAATGACGTAAGAATAATATATAAGTAAGCAAGCAAATTAGTGAGGAGCATTAAAAAAAGTCGAGCTGTTGTTTATTTATTCTTCTAAAATATGTTTTGCGCTGACATAGCGTTTTTCTGCAAATTTTGCATAAGCAGAAACTGGAAGCTGCAGCAAAAAAAAAAAACGCCTAGAATTATGCTACTAAATAAGAGAAAAAGACTGTTGCTTGTCATCAAAAAAGAAACCCTCATGCTAGAGAGCGTAGTGCCAGACTGCGATTTAATTTCAAATTAGTTGCAAAAAATACATAGAAGTGTATGCGAGTATTTAGTGCATCTGCTTGTCGACAGGAATTGTTACAACATGAAATATTGTTTTGAATAAAACTTGCGAATCTGAAGTAGGAAAAATCTCTAAGTCAGCAACAAAAGTATTTAAGTCAGTCAGAAAATGACTATCTATGCTATATTTATGGAGATAATGGAATATGTACGTAATTGAGTAAAAATTACTTTTTTTAAATAAAAATTTGGTGCATGTCTTCGCTGAAATGTAAACTATACCTAATTGTAGGCAACGATATAATTTATATAAAAAGAAATTGCTTTCATCCATTGAAGCATTGTTTGTTGCCTACAATTAGTCTCAGTTCAAATTTGTTAGAGATCGAATAATATATAAATATATAGAATATATGTCTCATTCTTCGTTATGCTTAGTAACTGAGCTATGCACTATCAATGACCATTAAAATCATTAAAATTTAAATATGTAATGTATTATGTTGTTTTGACAAGATGTTGGGATGAGGTATTGGCAAGATGTGGTGTCTTTTAGCATAGTAATGAAGTTGCTACTGTAGTTTTTAATGAAGCTTCAAAGCTCTGAGTTGCTTTTATATCTATGGTTCAAAGAACATTACTGTACTTTTGATAAAATGAGGTACTGTATGCCATACGGCTCTTTGCTCAAAGCCTCCTAAGGGCTTTTGCTTTTCTTTCCGGCAAAAAGGGACAATCACTGTTTTCCGAGCGCCAGCATTAACAATCAATGTGCATTACTTCCTTCATATATTCTGTGTATTTTCTGCATCCTTTCTCCTAGACCTTATTGTCCTACAGACAAGGTTATTTTAACAGCTTCAATATCAGACTGTAGTCGCTAATTTGAGCTTAGTAAGCGCCTAGCTTGTCGATAAATAAGTCATTTCTTCTCTATGCTAATCAATGTGAAGAATAAAAATGATTAGTTGAGTATAAATCGCTAATATCGGATTAAAAATATAAATTAAATTAAATTTAAGGAATAACAAGCTGTCATGTATAAATAACAATAGAAAATGTAATATAAATACTTTATTATAGTTTTGTTTGGTATGTGTCTCCGCTAAACTAGCAGATGCGCCTAAATGTAGGCGAATTTATGAAAGGCTTGTGGACGTAGAATCAAAAATTCTTGACAATCTACAAAAAGCTCAACACTCGTACAACTTAAATTAGTGCTTAATGATTGCAATAACTTTCGAAGTTTGTATAACTTTTTACACGATAAAGGTTCTTCAAGCTCTAAAAGGTTTTGAAGACATATTCAATCATTTGCGGATTTAATTCTAAATATGCCGCGCCTCGATTTAGAAAATGGTTTTTCTTTAATTTTTTTTTTTTGTCTGATCAGGACTCGAACCCGTGACCTTTTGTATGAAGGCGCATTCGACTATGGAATAGTTATAAAGACTCATCCATCTAGCAATCGTCTACGTGCACCAAATAAAGGAATAATAATAACAACAATTGAAAAAACAACAACCACTTCACCATAACAACGGTATAACTAACTGCAGTTTAATCAATACCTGCAAATTATCAACCGAGCGAAAGCAAAACTAAGCGACAGTGCTCTTAAATTGAAAACGCTTGAAAGAAACCAAAAAAAAAAAAAAAAAAAAAAATCCAAAACGAAGAAAAAGCACAAAAATATGTCACTGTTCGAGAATCCGGACAACATACGCATGCTACGCGATTTGCTCACACCACCTGAGGAGCGAGACAACTCGGACACAGACGAGGATGAGCCAGTCGCCAGCACACAAGCCAAACGCACCAATTTCAGTAAGTTTAGCAGGCGAAAAAAGGATGAGAGCCGTCTAAAATGTATCATAAACTCGGACTCAATTTCCAAATGACTTGACATTTTTGCATTTTTTCTTCTTCGTTTGGTAGCGCCCGCACATTTTGGCAACAGCTGCAGTAGCGACAAACAAGCGGCAAAAACCGGCGAACGCCCACAGCCCACAAACATCGAGGAATGGCAAAAGCAACAGGAGCAGGAGGACAATGAGATTTTAGAGAGACGCAAGCGACCGGAATACAACATGACCTATCGGCAGGCGGTGGGCACAGAGGATCTCTATCTGCAGGTACGAATACGAGCTGCAAGCATAAAAGCAACAATATATGCATGTTGTGCTGCGGCACATATGAGTGAAGTGTGCGCAGTGATTGAAGTAGTAGACTTTTTTTCTAACCAAAACACACAACTTTGATGGCAATCTTTCTTTCATTTTTTCAACAACATTTTTGACTGGTGCTTACTTCGGTCGGTCGGTCGGTCGGTTGGTTGGTTGGTTGTTTGGTGGTCGTTTGGTCACAGATGGGTAATCGCACTAATGCCACGGCCAGTTGTGAGGATTTGTTACTGGAGATATTGCTGCCCGACGAGACGACACCGGCGGATAAAATGGATTTGTCAATTACCGAAGATGAAGTGGATTTGGCGACGCCAATTTATCGCCTCAAATTGCCACTGCCACACAAGGTGAATGTGGACCGTTGTCGTGCCAAATATATTGCAGAGCAGCGCAAACTCTGTCTGACGTTGAGACTGCAACGGGAATTCGATTATGTGAACTTTTAGAAGGGGAGGCGGCAGAACGTTAAGCTGCTCAAATCGCCAGCGAATGCGACTGCATACTATAGCAAGAGAAAACAAAAACAAAACTAAAAATAAAAACAGAAGAATGGAAGGAAAGGGCGGTAGGCTATGGCACTGCAGTGGATTTGTTTTTCGCTCTATTTTGGTTTGCAATAAATATTATTGAGCAGCTAATAAATGTGTGCTTGTATATGTGTGTGTCTATTTGTGTATTAGCATCTGCATAAGCTCATCTATATGCAACGGCTCTACATGTGTCATTGTGGGTTATGTGCAGCGCCTTGGATTAAAGAGTGCACGTGTGGTGCTTTAAGAGATTATGTGGTGATGCAAATGTGTTTTAGACTCTATGCGGTTAAGCCATTACAATGCGACCTTACGCTCTGCGGTATTCGTTTCTGTTGTGCTGAGGTAAATAAATGCGACAGAAATGAAGATAAAAAATATGAAAAATATGAAACTTTTTGCAAGCTTTTACAATTTCTTCAAGCTTTCATGCAAAAGAAAAAACTCGTTTTTAGCATAAAAAGCTCAATAAATGCCAAATGTTATGTCATAAAAAGTTCGGTTAATATTTTAATGAGATCTTGTATTCTAAAAGAAGCTCTTTTAAGTATTAGTATGACAAATGAAAACTTCTTGCCTGTAGTCAGGAAGCTCCTTTACTTTTTTCAGGTTATAATAAAGAAAATAAATTAAATATCATATTGAAAGCTTTTCAATAGAGAACAAAATATGTGAGAACTAAATAATTTAGTCCAATATATACTGAGTTTTGTGATAAAAAGCTTTTGAATGCTTAGTTCAAAACTTGTAACCATAAATGAAGCTTTTTAAAGGTTTAAAGTTATAAAATTATAAATTTAAATATAAAATTCTTTCTAAACTTGCAAATAGAAATTTTTTTTAAGATATAGCTTTCACTCAATAATAAATAATCTTAAAGCTTTTATTATTATCGTTCCCAGAGAGAGTGAAAAGTAATTTTGTTAAAGCTTTCATAACTGTCACAGCTTTCAAACAAGTATAAGACTATTTCTGAATCTTGTTTTCGTTCTTCAGCTCAACCAATATTGAAAAGTTTTTGTTTGTAATACCATTAGAAAGCTTTGAGAGCTTTAACTTTCAAGTGGCGAAAATGAGCTAGGTTTCTGTTGATGAGCAGCAGAATATATATTTTCACATTAAGCTCAATCATTGGAGCTCTTAAACGCTAGTTGCACTTTTTGGGATTAAAAACTAATTTAGAGTTGATTTTTACATTAAAGTTCCAAAGCTCGGTAAGTTTGTATTTATAAATAAAGCTTTGCTCTGTAATAATAAATAAAAAGAAACTACTTTAAGCCATCTTTTAAGTGGTTCCTCAATTATTACTTGTAACCAGCAACTAAATTTACCGTAAGTTCTCTTTAACTAATAAATACCAATTCCATATAAACTCGGCAAGTGACAATTTTACTGTTATTGTGTACAAACAATTAGTTAAGTGAACAATAAAGTGTGCACATTCTCACGCCATGCCAACACCGAGTCATTGGGCTAAGCTAGCTAACTGGCTCGCTGGTTGCTTCCATTAAATATATAATTTATAACTTTATCCAGCCAGCACGTTGCAAGTCACCAAGGATTATCTAAGCGGTCAACGTGCAATTGCACGAAGTGAAAATGAGTTTTGCTGGCGTTGAAAGCACCAGAAGAGCGCTTGCACTTGTGCAACAAAATTTGTGTAGAAATAATTTTTGTTATTATTATTATACATATCTATGTTTGTACTCGTATTTCTGTGGTAAAGAGTGGACTTTCCTGTGTTCAAACATATTTCCGACAATTACAATAAGCAGTAAAAAAAGCAAGTATTTTCGAACATGTAATGCAACACTGTAGTCTGTTGTAACATTAATATCCCAGAAAGTTTCTTTTACCGAGCGGCAGACTATGTGTAGTCTGCATTTAGGCGCAATATATTATTTGGCCTAACTAAACGTTCACTTCTTGCTGACTTTATTTGTTGTTTTTTTTTTTGTTGCTTAGAATGTTGTAGGCAGCAGCCAGCAGCAGCAGCAGCACCGAGAACCTTGTGCTATATACTTTTTTCGGTTTCTTTCCTCCTTTTTGTACGAAATTTCTAATTTGTTGTCATCAGCATACTTTTGTCAGACACTGTGTAGGTTATTCCTCTTGCTTTTTCCAACTTGCATTTTGTGTGTGTGTGTGTATGTGTCTTTGCATGGATAAGATATTACAATGGAAATTAATACTTTTCCGACAACATTTACAAGCAGCTTTTTTATTTTTCAATTTTGTATTTTCCTTCAGTTGCCTTTTAATCAAGCATATTGCATTTTAATAGTTTTGTGATGAAGAAAAAATTTCGCTTTGGATAATTTTTAATTTTGCTTATAATATTTATCTAAAATTGTGCTCAAAATTGAGGTTTTAAACAAACTTTTTTTTATCAAAATTTGTTGGTCTAGTAAAAAATTGGTTAAACGCGCGTAAGCGGTGTCTATGAAAGTAAAGTAAATAAAAAGTAATTTTTGGAGTAGATGGATCTAGTGCTCCCTATCTCGCGTTCTATAATTGCGATTGTGTAAAAGTTGAGATTTTGTACTCAGCAAATAACTGAAGAAGTTTCGATCGCTGAGCAGTGTTTGAGCTTGTTTGCTTTACTTTACCAAGACGAAAACGCAAGTCAAGCAGCTGAAACCATTAAAAGTATTTACGATTCCGATACTGTAATAGTCAATATTGCACAATTTCGGTTTCGCGGATCTCGTTTCTTTAACATTGCTGTAAAATATACTCCACGCTAAGGCAGGTAGATTGTCGAAAGTGTCCATAAAATAATCGATCAACACCAGGGAAGTGTGTGTTATCAGAACTACACAGAACACATCCATCTATAGAGAGACACGCCAGAAGCTCCAAGAACGTGATTAGGAGTTCCTTACGCATCCATCTCATAGTCCACACTCCGCACAAAGTGTTTTCTATACGTTCCTGACTGACATAACCTTCAAAATGGCAAAAAGTTTTCGAACAAAACAGTGCATATTTGACCAAAATCGGTAAATTCTAACTTTGGATTTCCCTTTACCAGCCCTAAAATATTAAAATATGGAATATGGAAAATTTATTTAAAAATATTTCAACTCAATGAATTATAATGAAGAAACTACTTCATTAAATTATTGTAAGCAATTGATTTACATGTATTGAGGTCACATGTACGATATAAATGTTTAACTTAATAACCATTATCCTTACTACCAATTGTTGGGAATACTATTTCGATAGAATATTTTGCTCGATACATAACTTTCTATTCAAAATTCTTTAGCAAATATTTTGTTTAAAAATAGTGAGAGTTTTTTATTACTTTGCTTGCAACAATGGCATTTTAATATGCTTATATTTGTTTAGAGAATTTTTTGTGGGACAAAATGCCATTTGAGATGCTTGCAGATGCAACATTCTGCTGCTGCAACAAAACAAAAGAGTTGAACGAGATGTTAAATAAAGGGAGCGCAGCTGTTGTTGGTGGTGCACATTGTGCAAAAGAAAAGTAAGAAAACAGCAACAAATAAATAAAATGCATAATATAAGAAAAATAACATTCACAATGTTCGCCCTACTCACAAATTGTCAATATGTACACGTGTATGTTGCAGAAATTTGAACTTTATTTAGTACTTTATTGCATATATATGTATGTATGCTCATATAAGTGGCATTTGTTAAGTATTTTAAGGCATTATTTTTGGAATTTCAACAAAAGTATTTGAAGAACATTTTAGTTAATTCTATTGCTAGGGATACTTCAACTGAAAGTGGATTAGTGAAATACGTAGAAAAGATATTGTCACATAGTGATAAAGCTTAAAACGAAAGTTCTCATCAACTGGGTAGATGCACGGAAATAGTAACAGATTTGGTAGCAGTGACACACTGTAATTTCTCTTCACTGGAGTCTCCGGGATGTGCGAGTGGAAAAAATAAATACTCGAGATCAGACCCCCTGGCTTTCCTGAAAGACTGCTGAAAACTCAATGAAGCAGGTCCTTAGCGAACTGGCGCTCTTAGTCATGAGACTACCAGAGACTGCTCAAGTGTCAAAAGTTACAATAAGTTTAGATCCTTTTGCAAATGTGGTCTGCTTATGAAACATGTGAGTGGCTGCACCTTTTAACCACAGAGATTCATAGATAATGTTGGTGAGTCTAATATAGAGCGTGGTTTACCTTACCTTTTTGCTATTTTTTGCTTTTTCTCTGCCAATTGTTTTAACGGTACAAACAAATTCTCTTTATTATCAACAGCTCTATCAATTTCCTTTCGGTATTTACTATGAAGACGTCAATAACAATTAAGGTAATAAAATAGTTTATGTAAGTCATATATTTACATATTTATGGCTATTAACGTTACTATACGATTATGTACAAATACAAAGATACCTTTGGAGCATAAATTTGTATTTATAACAGTAGAATTAACTAATCAGTATTGTCAAAAAATTGGATAGACATTTATGACCTCTAATGTGAGGGTACATACATACACGTATACTTACATACGTACTCACGAACACTCACAGCAGATAATGTCCAATCAATTATTAATGCAAAATTTATAAGCTAGTTAATTTCATTTTTGATAACTCTCATACGTCTATGCTGTTGTATATGCATAATTGTGTATGTATATTTGTTGTTACTACTAATTTTTCTATTTATTTATTACACTGGGGCTTTCGTCAAGCCATTTTGATATTTATTGAGAGCACATGCTCAGCAAACGACGGTAATGCTGATAAGATTATACGGAATAATCATAAATAATAAAGTGTCTCAAACAACTGACATAATATATATTGTACTTAGCATATTATCGCTGAAGGCGGCCAAGTAGCTTAGAATAACAGCTGCATTACTAGTTACCTACAGTTTGGGATTATTAAAATGACAGTTGCATCCATTAGAAACCTGGTGGTCTTACACTTTTAAGAATCCCTCCAGTGAGAATTTAGACTTTTTTATTCTTTACTGGTATAGACATCGTTTACGCGACTATGGTCGAGTTAACAACAGTTCGCCATTCATTCTTCCTTCTAGCGTTTTGGCGCCATTTGGAAACACCAAATACAGACAAGTCCTTATTCAGTTGGTCTTACCAACAAAATGGCGATATTCCGCTTGTCATCTTGTCTGAAACCTCGTTTGGTAGAGAACGGCTCGGCGAGGTCTTTCCTGATCTTTTCAGGGGTTTCGGTGTTGCCTAATGCCGGTTTACAAAGTTCAATGGAATATATTCTATTTAATTAAATTAATATGTTTAAGGAGTTTAAGTGGTAACCCTCCTAAGTCAATACGTGGATTAATTTTAAATTATTTATTTAAAAATATATATTATTCTTAAATAAATATATATCTGAATCGGATTGTTACTGATGTGAAAATGTAACTGACTGCTGGTTGTAGGGCACTGAGCCGGCACAAAGAGTCTGCAGGCTAGAATTGATGGCCAGTAAAGATTCGCTGTGTGTCTGGTGGGATTGGCAAGGAAAGTGGATGATGAGCTGCTCTCCTACGTCCAAGCTCTTAATTCGTATCTGTAAAGAAGTAACCAATCACCGAGAAGCGCCCTTATTTGGGCAACAGTAATTTTTGATAATAACACGACAGAAGACCCCTTGCTTGATTGGGAGGCTCTTATGAGTGATTACCATCTGTCGCGGTCTATGACAAATAATTTGGCTAGTGAAGAATTGATCTCAGAAGAAGCCTATAAAGATCAATTGTCCCAATTTCCGCCAATAAGGGATAGGGTTTCTATGAGAGAGGCATAATGATACCTCCGAGCAACGGGCAAAATGGTTCATAATTAACATAAATCGGATGGTTTTTACTTTGGGAAATAAAGCTTTCAGTTTAAGGCAAAAATTATGGATTAACTTAACCTTATTTTAAAAATTTGTTTAATAACTTTTTCAAAAAGACTCAAATCAAATTTTTTATATTTGAATTAAGTAACTTCTTATTAAATTTCAACTTCCGAAATTCTGGGTAGAAGAATTAAAAAAGTCTCATAAATAAAATAAATAAAAATGTGTGGAAGCTCATAAAGCTCTCCTGTGTTTGAAAGAGCTTTTAATATATATTGAAATAAATGCGTTTTGTAAAAAAAAAATCATTCTTCACGTAAACTCTTCGTTCACTTGCAAGGCTGGCCACTCAAAGTAGCTCAAAAAGCACAATTAATGATAAAAAAGGAAAAAAGAAACTACTAAATGCTCGCAATAAAGAGCACTCAGAAGGAAAAGTGCTGATATGCACGCTTTACATTATTTTTTTGCCGGTAGAATAAATAAATCTAATAAATTTTGATAAGAAATGTGTGAGAAGGCAAAGGTGGAAAACGCATAAACGCACCATAAACAAAGTAATTATCATAAAGTGCAAAAAAAAGAAAGAAGAAAAGAAAAATTCCACGAAAAACCAACAACAATTTCATATTAGTTTCGCATGGCGAGAAATACAACAGTTACCTTGCCAAGTGCACGTATGACTGTCAGTGTGTTTGTGTGCAATAAAACGAAGACGTTGGCCAGTGTTGCCATGTGCTAACGCAGCAGCAGCAGCTTTACTGCGCGCCACCACCACATGCATAATTCGCATACATTGTAATTGGGCGCATAATGAAATAAATTACGCAAGTACGAGTATTTTACAACGCAAACATTCGCAGTGGCGAAGGAGCGAAGTGGAGGGGGGGGGAGTGCTTAAGTGTTACGTAATGTAAGCGCGCTTAAGGAAGAAACTCTGAGAAAATTACACGTATGTACACACAAACGCGCGGCAATATACGCAGCATACACGTTGAGCATATGAGCAAACATACATATATATATATATATATATATATATACGAGTATATACATTAGTAGCTACAAACTAATACAATACTTAAACACAGGTGTAAATGTGCAAACAAGGTTATACGGCATGTGGTCTTCCAACCATGTAACGGCGTTAGATATTACTTGTGTGTGTAGTTGTGTGTACAAAAGCATTCATGTGCGTATGTAAACCCCCATACGTTAGTCCTTTGTTAAATATCGCCAACGCTCATGCACTCGACCTGCTCACAAATACTCACACTCTGCCGATGGTGTCTGGTAGATTATGTCGCCTCTTAATTCGGTCCTAAATTAAGATAAAATTAACTTTATGCATTGGTGTTTAAACAATACCCAAATGTATGCGTGTTCAATGGGTGAGTGAAGCAGGACTTGCAAGGGATAAACATATATTTCATGTAAGGTCTCTGCTGTAGATAGAATATGTGAGCCTTTCGTACCCTCTGTGAACCTCGCTGCCTCATTCTGCCTCTGTAAGCAATAACTTCCTCAGTAGGGGCGTGTACATATACTCGGATGATTCGCAATGTGTAAGTTCAGTGGCGCTAAGCATATCTCCGCATAATCCGTCATCAGCTGACGGTACACTACTCGAGGCCTAAATTTTTATTACCGTACATGCTATAAAATAGTGACATTCACGCAGCAATAGAAACCTAGACTCGACCATAATGAACTCTTTTAAAATGCATCACAGTTACAGATATCTTCAGGAGATGGCTAAACAGAATAGACTACCTGTTCTTCTATACATAAAGCGAAATAGCAGAGAAGGCAGACTTGTAAGGTACAACCAGTTAGATTATTCCAGAGAAGGAAAGCATTCACAAGCCACTCACCTCAGGAGCGAAATTCGTCTTGCCGCAAAGTCGAGAAAAACTTGTTCGAGGTAGGAGTTCATATGGAAAATTTGAGTATTTCAAAGAAAGTCGAAATCCCGACGAGGCATTCAAAAAAGCTCAGGTCTATTTTAGATGATACCACAGGAGCTTTAGAAATGACAAAAATAGGAGAAGATTTTCTGTCTACACTGCTTAAGGCAGAAGTAAACTGGGATTTCAACTTTTAACTATCAGTGAAAATCGGTATTACAATCAAAGGACCAAAAGAGGTCTGCCTAGCAGCCTAGATGCTGCAGCTCAGAATACATGGGAAACCAAGCTCAGCTTAAGCTTAAATTCCTTTGAAAACTCATTACCCATGCAGTCACCTTGAGAAGCACTCTGTATATTCAAAAAGAAGCTTACACCTGGAACGGCAAACAGCTGATATTTATTTCCTTACACATACAACAAAATATTCCTCTTATGAAGTCCCAGAGCGCGTAATTTCTTGCACCTCTTAAATTATGCTGCTACTTGTGCGGCGCTTCCTTCCTACCCCCAAAACAGAGCATTGTTGTTATTGTTGTTACTCGCGGCACTGAAAAGCCGAGAGGTTGGGGATTTGGTGATGAGTTCGAGGCTGTGCGACACATCGCAACGCGCGTAGTAATAAAATTGCGGAAGAGCGAATGAATTTCGCAATTTCATGTAAATTGTAATACGAATAGTCAACCGAGAAGTCGCCGCAACAACACCAATAACAACAAGAGTAATAAAAAGATAACAGGAAGTGCATTCTTCCTTATTCTCCATTTACATTCCAGCGCTTTATGGGCACTCCATATATTGTACAATATCCACCTTCACTTTCAGCGCAGGGGCGCAGCGTTGCAAATAAACGTGGCAATAAATACGAATATGCAAGAGGAGTGAAAACGAAATGAAATTGATATAAAAAAAGGAAAAAAGTAGAAAATTATGCAACAGTTCGCGACTGAGTTATTGGTTTCGCGAGGTCAAGATGGCAGTTGAAAAAAAGATTGTTTTTTGGGCGAACTAATAAAAGGGCGAAGGAATAAAGTTCAGAGAGCATCAAAAAAAATTAAGAGTGAGATAATAAAATTTCTCAATAAAAGAGTTCGTAGAAAGAGTTTAAACCCTTAGATTCGACTTAACAGAGCCGTTTTAACCCTTACATAAACAGTTCCCTTGAAATGCAAGCAACGCGGGTGCTGATTTTTCGATTGAAAGGTCAGTTGAGTGGCTGATCCCTAGATTTTCCTTTTTAGTAGAATTTGATATTCTAGTGAACTTCATGGAGCTCTGGCCAAGTGGAGCGTTTCCAGCCCATATGCGATGAGGAAAGCGCAAGCCGCCTTGGTGGTCCTCATAATTGCTCAGACTCCGGAGGTTATAAAAATAGCTCTTCATTAGAGCGAGGAGCCAATTTGAAGACCTTCACTCGGAAGCACATAAAGATGAGCTCATGGTCTACAAAAAGTCTCTAAGGAGAGATTTCTGCAGTAATATTGAGAGAGAGAAGGAAACCACAAGGCTAAGAGCATTTATGTCTAAATTCCCTTATACAGTAGGATCAGTCAAATACAGAACAGTACCTGCAGAACTAA